TTTCGTGGCCATATATGGGCCATGGACTGTTAAGGGGTTAATAATTCAGTACAACTAATTTTTCTGAAAAATTTTAATTCATTTTTTTTTTTTGAAATTATTTGAATTTTTAATATTGGTTTAGGTAAACTTTCTTTATTCTTTATTCAAAGAATAAAGATTCTCAAAGAACTTTGTCAAAAATTATTAAAAATAATTTATTTATAGAAGAATTTAAGTTAAAAGTTCCAGAAAATTAAATTCAAATCATGAAAGTTTAATTTTAAAAAAGTTACAATAGCTTTGAAAATATTAAAACGAATTAATTCTTCTTTTTCTTTCTTTTTTCCTATTTATAAACTTTGAAATGAGAGAAAAACACTTAAATTTTTTTTATTTCTGACAATATTAAATATTAAATTTTACAGAATATGAAATTTAATTTATTTGAAACAATATAATTCTTGGAGGACTGTTGTAAAATTATTACATACTTGTAGATTATTTTATGAATAATTTTACATCAAAATTTCAAAAATAATTGCGAATTGTATAAGAGGTTGCATTTACGATTTTCATAAATAAATAAATTTCAAAAGGTTAATTTCCAATTTCAGAAAATTATTCGATTTTTAGTGAATTTTAATTGAGACAAAGAACGAATCAAAACTCTGCTTCGCAACACTTCTATATTCGTTTTTTTTGTCTTAATTAAAATTCATTAAAAATCCAATAATTTTCTAAAATTTAAAATTAACCTTTTGAAATTTAATTATTTATGAAAATCTCGCATAAATACAATCTAGCAATTCAATTATTTTCGTAATTTTTATGTAAAATTATTCATAAAATAATTTATAAGTAATAATAAAATTTTACTTTTTTGTCTTAATTTGATATCCTTAAAAAAACTGTGTAGAGAAAATATAATATTATAATTAATGCTAAATATATAATTTTTTAGCGAAATAAGGAAAGAAGCAAAATCTTTTCTGTAAATCAGGGAAAATTTTAAGGAAATAGAAAATTTTTTCGATAAATCGGGAATGAAAATATAAAATAAAGGACTTTTGATTTTTTTCGTATTTTTAATAGAGTAAAAATTTTTTCCGTCTTAAAGTAGATCCGAGAATATAGATATTCATAGGTATACTGAAATTGATACAAATATTAATAAAAACGATATAATTTATGAACTTTATAATTAATAAATTCATTTCCCACAATTATAATATTAATTATAGTTATTGTAATTTCATGCATTGCGAATAATTATTTTTAGCCGAGGAATGGTTGCTTTTTGTGAATTCTAGTTATCCATTAATCTCAATTAAATTTTCTGCAATTTATGCCTGAAATGACAAATATGAGGTATCAATGGAATCGAATCTGAACAAAATAATTTGAATTGTAAAGCTTGAGCATATGGAGCGTGTCGGTGCAAGCTTAATGACATACAAATGAGCACTGTTAGTTGCCACATATATGTATATATATAATACTATATATATATACATACAAACGTATATTCCCTATATTAAATTGTAGTGATGACAGTGTCACCACATATATTCCCCGCGAGAGTAATAGCTTTTCCCAAATACAGTATATGTGATTATTCTCGATGATTAAACTCAGTATACAAGTGAGTATAAATCAGGTTGGCTTTTTGTCACTCAATTTTTTATATAAAACTCTAAAGAGCTTACTATTGTGAATTAGTCACGTCACGTATTCAGCGCAAACATGCCCTCACAACTTTTGTATATATAAAATTACAAAATCAACTTGAAAATATAAACAATCATGCATTTTAACTTTATATCTATATATATCTATATATATATATATATATATATACATACTATTCTGTTTTCCAAACTTTAGTGAGTTTTAATTAAAACTCGTACAATTTAATTTTTAATTAAAAAAAAGAAATTACATCTAGGACAATTACTGCAGAAGATTAATTAAATTTTCAAAAGAGGATTCATATTTAAATTTGCTGAAGGAGAAAATTTTTAATATCATGTTTTTAAATCAATTTTATATATATATATAAGTGAACGTTTAAAAATTATCTGGTAAATATATATGTATATATTCCTAATAGGAAGAGGTTTAGGTTAAATAGCGTGATTAAATATGCTCTTTACAATTTACACAGTAGATTCAAAGTAGATGTTTCTCGAAATATTCCCCTTTAAAAATTCTCTTTAAGACTCTGATAAACTTTTAATTAAACTCATAAAAATAAGCTTAAAAGTAAAACCGAAAATAGAAAAAGAAATTATCGCTAAAAATTAATTTAATTTTTTGCTGGAAATTTTATTGTCGTGTATTGAAATATTTACTTTTTAATAAATATAAAGAGGCAGACAATTTCAGGATTTTATAGAAATTGTTGTCAGGGTTGCTATATGCAAAATGGAAACATGGAAAATCTGGAAATGTCAGGAAATTTTATAAACCTTGAAAAAACTTGAAAAAGGCGGGAATTTTTATCAAAATCCTGAAAAAATGTTGTTTTCTATTGTGCGTTTATTCTTGAAATCTAATTTTACTTAAATATTTCAAAATTCAATTTAAAAATTCAATTTAAAATTTTGTGAAATTTCAATTTTAAATGAATTTTGTTAAAAATATATAAAAAAAAAACTTAGATTTAAAAAAAAAATTTTTTAATTCTTCTGAAATTAGTTAAAAACACTAAAACAAATTGAATTTTGAAGCAATTAGAAATTACTGCAGAAATTCAATTATTTTCAAAAATTTTAATAAAATTCTCATCAAATTTTTAATTATTTTTAAAAATTTTAATAAAATTCTACTCCAAAATTCAATTATTTTCACAAATTTTAATAAAATTCTTGACAAAATTTCAATTATTTTCAAAAATTTTTATCAATTCAATGATTTTCAATAATTATTTTAATAAAATTTTCCAAAAAAATCAATTAGTTAAAAAATTTTTAATAAAATTCTATGCAAACATTTAATTATTTCACAAAAATTCAATTATTTACAAATTATTTTAATTATTTTTAATTATTATTATTTTTTACAAATTATATTCAATTATTTTCATAAATAAAAACATTTTTTACTAGAATTTGATTATTTTTATAAATATTAAAACTCAATGCTAAATTTAAATTATTTTTAATAAAATTTTAATGGAATTCCTCGAAAAAAGTTATTATTCTTAAAAATTTTATTGAAATTTGTCAAAGAAATTTAATTATTTTAATAATTTTTGCTACAATATTTATTTATTAGAATTTAAGTATTATTTTCAATGAATTTTAAATTAAAATTCTTTAAAGAATAAAATTATTTTCAAAAATTTTAATGCAATTCTTTCAAATTCAATTTTTTTCAAAATAATTTTAATAAAATTCTTCGCAGAAATTCAATTATGTTTAAAAATTTACAATACAAAAATTCTCGTCAAAATTTCAATTATCTTTATAAATAATAAAATTTTTCTCTAAAATTCCATTATTTTCAAAACTTTTAATAAAATTCTTTGCAGAATTTCAATTATTTTTAATACAATTTTCATCAAATTTTTCGAAAAATGCAATTATTCATAAAAATTTTATTAAAATTTGTCAAGAGAATTCAATTATTTAAAAATTTGTTTTATCATTGCAAAATGCAATTATTTTCAAAGTAATAAAATTTTTTGTAAAAATTTAATTATTTTCAGGAATTTTAAGAAAATTCAATGCAATTATTTTCAAAAGAAAGAAAATTCTTCTTATAGAAATTCAATTATTTTCATGAATTTTAATGAAATTCTTTGCAAAATTCAATTATTTTCAAAAGAAATAAAATTCTTCTTGGGAATTCAATTATTTTCAGAAATTTTAATAAAATTCATTGCACAATTCAATTATTTTCAAAATAAATGAACTTCTTCTTAGGAATTCAATTATTTTTTTATGAATTTTAATAAAATTCATTGCAAAATTCAATTATTTCCAAAGTAATAAAATTTTTCGTAGAAATTCAATTATTTTGAAGAATTTTAAGAAAATTGAATTATTTTCAAAAGAAATAAATTTCTAGAATTTTTAGAATTAACTTTTTTTTTTTTTTCGTAGAAATTCAATTATTTTGAAGAATTTTAAGAAAATTGAATTATTTTCAAAAGAAATAAATTTCTAGAATTTTGTAATTAACTTTTTTTTTAAATAAGTTTAATGCAATTTTTTGTAATTTATTATATTTAAAGTTTTTAATTTCTAATATATTTAATTGAAGAATGTCAGAATAATCGTAATTTCGTGAAATAAAATTGTGAACAAAAGAATTTGAAAATTCACAAAGAACTTTTTTAAAAATTATTTTTCAAAAATTGAAGAATTTTGGATGAAAATTCTAGAAATGAATAATCGTCATGATGAAAATAATTTTTTAAGAAGTTACAGTAACAAAGTAGCAAGTTTTAATTATTATAAAACATGAAGAAAGCGATCGATATCTTCATGTTTTACAATAATATTCTTATATGTTATTAATTTTTTAAAATCTTAATTTCTATAAAAAAATAATGATTAAATATTTCTTTAAAAATAAAGTTATTGGTTTTTTCGAATAATTTTCATTTTAAAAAACCTGGAAAAATTCCGTTTTTTAACCTGGAAAACCTGAAAAAGTCAGAGAATTTAAAAATAGTTTTTTGGAGTTCACACTTTTTATTGATGATGATGATCATAAATGTGAAATCGAGTTTCTCAAAGGGACGGAATTTAAAATAAATGTTCTCTATAGAAAATGTGAAACCTCAAAAACCTCTTAGCTGGGAAAATTGCTTTAATGTTATTTCAAAGATCTGCTTGATGTTAATGTTTCGAGAAATGCTTTTAAAAATCGAAATTGAAGTAATCGCTTTATGAGAACATTACCGGCATTTAAAATGTTAATTTGTAAAAGAGAGAGAGAGAGAGAGAGAAAGTATAGCTATATTTGAAGTGGGTGGTATTTTAAATGTGAAAATTGCTTATAATCCTCAGGTATATATCGTTGGCCATTCTCCACCTGGAGTCGATGAAAGAGAACACGGTGCTGGTGGTTTAAAGGAAAAACACAACACTAGATATTTGCAACTTGTTCGTCAATATGCCGATATTATTCGTGGACAGTTTTTCGGACACTGGCATTCAGATACATTTCGAGTCATCTACAGTGACACAGGTATTAATTTTTTTCACTCTTTTGATACATAAATAAATTTCACGATTTTTGGAAATACTAAAATCCATTATCTTTATAAATAATAAAATTCTTCTCTGAAATTCAATTATCAAAAATTTTAATAAAATTCATGGCAAAAATTTCAATTATTTTCAAAAAAAAATTTCCTCAATCAATGATTTTCAAAATTTACTAATTTAAGAATTAAATTAAATTTAATTTAATTAAATTTAATTCCAATTTAAGAATTCAATTATTTAACAAAAATTAAATAAAATTCTACATAAACCTTTAATTATTTTCATAAAATAATAAAAATTTCACAGAAATTTGAAAATTCTAAAAAGAACTTTTTGTTGAGAATTATTAAAAACAATTGATTTAAAGAAGAATTTAAAGAATCTTTTAAAGAATTTTAATTCCTATGGAAAAATAATAATTATTAAATAGTCAGGGAAAAACAAAATTAAATTTTTGTGGCAACCCTGTAGCAATATTTTTTAGCTAACCTATTTTCGATTTATGGTATTCATAATATTTTCCATTTATGAAAGTAAACTTAATTAATGAATATTCTATTCAAAACAAATTTGAACTCATCGCAGGAAAATTAAATAATTGTCGGTATTGCTGTATTTTTCAGTACGCTCATTGCAGTTTATAAGTGAATATATAATTCTTACTGTTCTGTTTGTCTCGCGTCGTGCATTATGACTAGTGTCAATAATGGTCCATTTAAAAGTGTTAATAGTTTTTATTTTTAAATTCTTAGTTTATTATTTATTCACCTATTAATTATTTTAATTTTACGTTTTTTTAATAACTGCAAATTAAGAACTTAGAAGTACAATCATATGACTGTTTTAAATAAATTGAATTATAAATTTTATATTTAAATTTTATAATTTATTCACTTCTTTGAATTATTATTAGCAGTAACTTGAAACTCAAATCACTTAAAAGGTAAATTGAAATTAATTATTGAACTAATTTGACAATTTTATTATTAAAAGTTTTTATCAACAGGAGTTAAGAATTATTATGACAAATAGAATCTTAATTAATTATGTTATTAATAGCTAAAAATTTCAGTCTGTTTAATCTGGGTAAATTAGTATTAATTATTGAATCAACATTTCTATTATTCAAAGCTTTTATCAATAGAAGTTAAGAATAAATAATAATTCATTCAATAGAAATTTATTTTTGAAATGAGCAGTAACTTTGTTTTTAATTGTTCCTATAACTAAATATAAAAAAACAAATTGAAAATACAGACGTGATTTAATTAGAGATTGATTAAAATTTTTAATTTGTTTAAAATTTAAATAAATTGATGTGAAATTTAGATCAACTGCTGAATTCGAGTTGAATTAAAAATAAGATAAATTATAAAATCCAAAAGATTAAAAATTTGAACGATTTAAATTCGGAGTCAATTAAGATTTTAATTAAGATGAAATTTTTAACAACTTGCAATTCAGATTTATCGAAATAAAAATTAATAATTCAATTATGTTTAAAAATTTTTTTAAATTCTCGTCAATATTTCAATTTTCTTTTGAAATAATAATATTCTTCTCCAAAATTCAATTATTTTCATAAATAAAACTCTTCGCAGAATTTCAATTATTTTTAATATAATTTTTAATAAATTTCTCGAAAAATGCAATTATTCTTAAAAATTTTGTTCAAATTCGTCGAAAGAATTCAATTATTTCTAGAAACTGTAAAAAAAAAAAATGTGTCAAGAGTTCAATTATTTCCATAAATAGAAAGATTCTTCATATTTTCTTAATTCTCTTGAATATTATTTTTAAAAAAATTCTTCACAAGAATTCAATTATTTTTATAAATTTCCATAAAATTCTAAAAAAAAACAATTCAATTATTTTTAATAGCAATAAAATTCTTCGGAGAAATTCAAATATGTTTAAAAAATTTTTTAAATTCTCAAAATTCCAATTATCTTTATAAATAATTAAATTGTTCTTCACAATTCAATTATTTTCAAAAATTTTAATAAAATTCTACGCATGAATTTAATTATTTTCATAAATAATAACATACTTTTATAAGTAGTAAAATTCTTTGCAGAAATTCAATTAGTGTCAATAAATTTTAATAAAATTGAATTTATCAAATTTTCAATTATAATTATGAACAGACAAGATTATTTTAAAAAATTGAAAAAATTCTCTGTTTAATTTAATTATTTTCCAAATTTTTAATTAAGATTATTAAAAAAAACATTGTTTTCGAAAAATTTAAAGAATTTCGTCAAAAGAATTTAATTATTTATAAAAATTGTAATAAAAATTTTTGAAGCCATTTGTAGATTTATTTTTGTTTGGAAATCAAAAAAATTAAAATTTGATTTCGAACAAAAACAGGGAAAAATTAGGAAAAAACCGGGAATTTCGTTGAATGAAAATAGTAAAAAAATTAATTGAAGAAAATAGTAATTTTTATTGAGAATGTATAAAAACCCCCTCCCCCTCTTTTTTTCATATAAAGAAAAGCCAGAACTTTTTCACCTGTATTGGTGATATTATTGACGTTATTAGAAACGTGATATATGGGGGAAGCTTTTGGTGTATGACAAGATTGAAGGGGCATGGGGAAAAAAGGGAATTCAGTGATTGGTATGCAGAGCAGGAAATTGAAAGAAGAAATTGATGAGTTCAAAAATGAAATACATATAGAAAAAATCATTTTGAAATTTATAGCAATATATATACATGTATATATATATATATATATATATATATATATATATATATATATATGAGAATTTTGTCTCCAATTGTATTTGAAAACAATCATTTTTTAGAATAACAAATTTTTTGTTTACAGGCTCACCAGTATCGTGGATTATGATGGCTCCAAGCATCACTCCATATCGAGCTGGAGGACCAAATAATCCTGGACTTAGGCTTTACCAGTTTGAAAAGAAATCAGGCCAGGTATATATACTATTTTTATTTTTCATAAATTCCTACTTTAGAAAAAAGATAATAAAATTTATAAATATCTGCATTACGATAAATCTTATAGATTATTGTAATACAATGTACAATTTCGAAAAATGTATTTTAAACATGATATTATTCAGGCTTTGGAGAATACACTAAAAAAAATGATTTATTTGATTCAAATAAATTATTTCGCTGAAAAAAAATTTTTTTAATCCAAAAATAAGTAGTTAATGGAAAAAATATGTTTGAAGAAGCCTGATTATTAACAGTTGTAAATTATTCTTGCCACTGTTAACTTAAAAGTATCAAGATACAACGAATTGATACAAAAAAATGTGTATCAAATGAAAAATTGATCTAAATTTTTCTCATCAACTTGATACTTTCAAGAAAACTGTGTGAAAACTAATAGAACTTCTTGAAAATAATAATAATATTTAACAACTAATATTACATCTAAATGGGAATTTAAAAATAGCGAATATTACATTTTCGCAGGTAATAGATTACAAACAGTATTATTTGAATTTACCCGAAGCCAACTCAATCAGAAGTGCTTACTGGAATATCGAATACTCATTGCTCAAGCATTATGAGCTTAAGGAGATATCTGCCTTAACTCTTCACGATTTGGCGGACAGATTTACGCAGTCCAATGACAACGCTTTCGTCAGGTAAGTGGAAATTCATTATCAGTTTCAGATGGCTTTACCCAATTTCAATGAAAATGAACTTTAGTCAAAGCCCTTTAAAATTAAATAAGAATATTAATTTCACTTCGCCACTCACATTGAATACCGAAATTCAAATTTAAAATAGTTGAAAAATTTACAGTTATCTATTTAAGGATTATAAAAAAAAAATTATTGTGTTACCCAGCTGAAAAAGTTCTATAGAATTTCATTAGAATCATTCCATAGAATCATTCTATAAGAATTTTAGTGAATATTCTATAGAATTTCATTCCAACAATTCTATAAAATTTCTACATGAATTCTACCAAATTTTAGTGTTTTTTAATAAGAAAGAATATAAATTTCGTGAAATTATTTTTTTAACATTATAATATTGTATGGTTACTACGGGGCTCAAACTAGGTCCGTAAATCCCGTAAAAGTCCGTACCTTTCCTTGAAGTACGTAAAAGTCCGTAATTTGATTAAAAAAGGACAAAAAGTTTGTAAATTGTACGATATAATTTGGAAAATTATAGAAAAATTACAAATGATTGGAAAATTCAATTATTTTCAAAACTAATAAAATTCTTCGCAGAAATTCAATTATGTTAAAACATTAAAGGAAAATTCTCATCAAAATTTCAATTATTTTTATAAATAATAAAATTCTTCTCCGAAATTCAATTATTTTTAAAAAATTCAATAATTACAAATTTTTAAAAAAATTTCTTCGCATTATAATTCAATTATTTTTATAAAGAATAAAATTTTTACAGGAATTCATTTATTTCCGATTTTTTTTTTATGAATTTCTACGCAATAATTTAATTATTTTTATAAATAATAAAACCTTTATTACCTATTTTTAATACAATTTTAATCGAATTCCTCGAAAATTGTAATTAATTCTTATAAATTTTACTAAAATTCGTCAAAAGAATTCAGTTATTTAAAAATTTGTTCAAAAATTGACCTCAATTCAAAGATTTTCAATATCTACTATTTAAATAAAATTTTCCAAAAGAATTCAATTATTTAAAAAAAAATTTAATAACAATCTTTATTAAAATTCTATTATTTTCAGACTTTTAGTACAATTTTAATAAAACTTGAAACAATTTAATTATTTTTAAAACTTTTAATATAATTTTTCAGAGAAATTAAATTATTTTGAAAGATTTTAATGTTATTCTTCCTAAAAATTCAATTATTTTCAAAAGTAATGAAATTCTTCGAAGGATCTCAATTATATTAAAAAATTTCAATAAATTCTCGTCAAATTTTCAATTATTTTTTGAAAATTTTAATAAAATTCTACTCCAAAATTCAATTATTTTCAAAAATTTTAATAAAAATCCTTGTGGAAAAATTTCAATTATTTTCAAAAATTTTCCTCAATTAAATGATTTTCAATATACCTATCTATTATTTTAATAAAATTTTCAAAAATATTCAATTATTTAAAAATTTTTTAATAAAATTCTACCAAAACATTGAATTATTTTCATAAAATAATAAAAATTTCACAAAAATTCAATTATTTACAAATTTTTTTATAAATTTCTTCGCAATATAATTCAATTATTTTTATAAATAATAAAATTCTTTTTAGGAATTCAATTATTTTCATGTAAAGTTCATCACTGAATTTCAATAATTTTTTTACAAAATTTTAAACGAATTCCTCGATAAATGTAATTATTATTACAAACTTTATTAAAATTCGTCAAACGAATTCAATTATTTAAAAATTTATTGACAAAATTCTTTATGAGAATTCAATTTCAATATTTAAAAAAATATTTTAAAAAATTTTCTAAAAACATGCAATTTCTTTTATAAATAATAAAATCTTCACAGGAATTCATTTCAATTATTTAAATCAAATTTAATAAAGTTCTTTGCAGGATTTCCATTTTTTTCATAGAATTCCTCGAAAAATGTAAGAATTCTGAAAAATTTTATTAAAATTCGTCGAAGCAATTCAATTATTTAAAAATTTGTTAATAACATTCTTTATGAGAGTTTAATTTTTAGAAATATTCAATTGCTTAATAAATTATTTATTTTTATATTTAAATAATTGAATTCTCGTAGAAGTTTCGAATAAAAATTGATTTAAAACTGAATTTCACTTAAAATTTTAAATAATAATTGAATATTAAAAGCATTATAGCTTGAATTTTAAGAAATAATTGTATTTTGAAAAGGTTGTAATTTAAAATATTAGAAAATTTGAATTTTTCATAATTTCAAATAACAATTTTGTAGAATTAATTTTTTTTTAAAAGTATAATTGAATTTTTTTATATTGTTTGAAGTTTTTATTTTCTAATGTATATTTAATTGTAGAATTTACGACTGATTAAAATTAGAAAAATTGAATATTGTAAATAAATGGATTTTGAAAATTGTCGAAGAACTTTTTCGAAAATTAATTGATTTAAAGAACAAAATTTAGTGGAAAATTTTTAAAAATAATAATTGAATTTAAATAATGATTTAAAATCTTAACTGAAATTTATATTTAAATCAATTTTTATTAAAAAAATTCTACTAGAATTCAACTATTTAAATACAAATAAAATGCAAATAAATAATTTATGAAATAATTGAGTGTTTCTTAAAATTGATTTCTCATAAAGAATTTTATGAACAATTTTTTAAATAATTGAAGTCTATCCACGAATTTTAATAGGATTTTTAAGAATAATTGAATTCTTTCGACGAACTATAATAGAATTTTTAATAATAATTGAATTCTTTGCAGGAATTCAATTAAAATTGTACTGAAAATAATTGAATTTTTTTGGCGAAAAATTTTGCGATTTATAAAGATAATTGAAATGTTAGCGAGATTTTTTTTCAAATTTTTGTAAATAATTGAATTTCTGCGAAGAATTTTATTACCTACTTTTGTAGATAACTGAATTCTTGTGATGAATTCTTTTGTTATCTATGAAAATAATTGATTTTTGCAATGAATAAAATTTAATTACACAATAATATAATGTTTAAAAATATTATTTCACGAATTAAAATTCTTTCTAATTAAAAATCACTAAAATTTAGTAGAATTCATGTAGAAAATCCAATACAATCATTCTAGTAAAATCTCGTAAAATTCTGTAGAATATTCACTAGAATTCATATAAAATGATTCTAGTGAAATTCTATAGACCTTTTTTAACTGGATTGACTTTAGCCAAAGCCCTTTAAAATTTAATAAATAAATAATAATAATTCAAAAATTAAATTAATAAAAAATAAAAATAAAAATAATAATTAAAAAAAAAAAAAAAAAAAAAAAAAAATTTTTTTTTTTTTTTATATAATAATAATTTAATATTTATATTTACTTCGCCGCTCACATTGAATACCGAAATTCAAATTTAAAATAGTTGAAAAATTTACAATTATCTATTTAATGATTATAAAAAAAATAATTGAAAGACACTTGAAAATGGGTAATTATTATTATTCTTACATAAGAGGTTCTCTCTCGATAAATATCCAATTTGGAAAATTGATTCCACTTGCGTAACATTTATAATGATAACGGTGCGGGGGCCGTTAATCTTTTGTGCCGTTTTGTATACACGCTTCTCTCTTATTAATAAAAAAAAAGGATCGTACTTTTTCCGAAGCAATCGTGAATTTTTTTTTTTTTTCGTTAAGTAACAGGGTCAAGTTATCATCCAATTATGGATTTTGAAGTTTGGTGTTTTATATGCAGATATTACGCTGCAAATACAGTCTCCTTGCCGAGGGAGGTGGAGGAGATATGGGGGTGTGGAGGTGCACTGAATGGAGGTTGTGCATTGCAACACTACTGCTCGGTGACCCGTCTGGATACAGATTCGTACAGCAATTGCGTTCATTCGTATGCCTATGCTCTTTCATCAACCTCTTCTCCATCTATTCAAATCGATCTCGTCATTCTGTATCAACTCCTGGCTATCCTTCTAACTTTTCTCCAATGTCGGTAGGGAAAAGACTTATACATTTATAATAGCGAACTGTAACTTTTTCTATATTAAAAAAAAAAAAATAAATAAAAAGGCGGATCCAAGTCTTAACTCTCAAGTGCAAACGAACAGCGTCGTTCAATAGTGTGCGATACATATACCTATTGAATATGCGATCATGTCGATCTTATTTGAAAAAAAAGAATCACATCGACATATTGGACGAAAATCTATTTTTAAGTGCGGACGTAGCAATTTCTTTATTCAGAAATTCTTTTTTTGTAAAATATATTCATGTATTCAAATATATAAAACAAGTTCTATAGTTCTAGGTTCGCCTATGAAAAGGCTAATGAATTGTCCCCAAAAATATTTCCCTCTTTACTAAATATAAGTAAAGATAAGATTTCAACGAATATTTACAAGGTTGACATAAAAAATTAATTTTGTTGTTCCCTTCCATTTATTTCTAATTTCCATATTGAAAATCGACTTTTTCCTTGATGCATATTATTAAAAAAAAAAAAAAATCAAGAAAAGTTGAATTGTAAAACATGATTAATTTTAGGAGCAAAAATTTGATCTAAAAGTTTGAGGGTGTCGACCTATTTTAAAAATAAAATTAATTACTGTACCTAACTTCCCTGAATAATTTTTAAATAATTTCAATAAAATTCAATTACTTTTAATAGAATTTTAGGAATTTCAATTATTTCAAAAATTTTCAATTATTTCTCTAGGAAACTTCAAAATTATCTTTAAAAATCAAATTTATTTATTTATTTATTAGTGTTTACGGGCACAAAGCCCTTTTGTACAAAGTACTTAACGATATTAAAACTAATCAACTAATCAACAAATTGAAATATTTTACATTTCTTTTTTTCGAATTTTAAATAAAACTTCGAAACCACAATTTAAAAATAAATTTGATTATTTTTAAAGTTAACTAAATTAATAAAGATTTTTATTTTTAAATGGAATTTAGATCAACTAGTGATGTTTTTTACACTAAAAGACAGTATATTCGAATACGACTTTTTGTGAAATAGTAAAATTCAATTATTTTTCAATTATTTAATTTAAATTCTTTGAAAATTCAATTATTTTTTAATTATTGCATTTTAATTCTTTGAAAATTTAATTATTTTTTAATTATTGCATTTTAATTCTTTAAAAATTCAATTATTTTTTAATTATTGCATTTTAATTCTTTGGAAATTCAATTATTTTTTAATTATTGAATTCAAATTCTTTGAAAATTCAATTATTTTTCAATTATTGAATTTAAATTCTTTGAAAATTCAATTTTTTATTCAATCTCTATAATAATGAAAAAATTCCATAGCAAATTTAATGATTTTCAATTTAATTTCAATTACCTTGATAATTCTTTACTACAATTTTTTTAAATTCAAGTATCTTTAAACAGTCTAATTAAAAAGTGTCGTATTTTTTTAAATAAATACATAATTGTTATTATATTTTTCACAAAAATTAAAATTTTCAAAAAAGTTTTAGCTTAAAATTTTCTATAAAACTTAATTATTTTCGCAATTATTTTCAAAAAATTCAATCATTTCTTTAAACATTTGAATTATTTTCAAACATTAGAATTGAAATATTTTAAAAACCCATTTTTTCGGAATTTTAAATAAAAATTTTTTAAATTTCAATATTTTAACAGAAATTTAAGTATAAAATTTACAATCATCAAATTGAATTATTTTTAAACATCAGAATTGAAATATTTTAAAAACACATTTTTCAGAATGTTTTTATGTTTTATACTTAAAGTTTTGTTAAAAAATTGAAATTTTGAAAATTTTTATTTAAAAATCTGAAAAAATGGATTTTTAAAATATTTTAATTCTAATGTTTAAAAATAATTCAATTTTTAAACAAATAATTGAAATTTTTGAAAATAATTGAAAAATAATTAAGTTTTAGAAAATTCAATTAGTTTTACATTTTAATAAAATATTTTTAAAAATTCAAGTAACTTTAAAAAATTGAATTGAAATTTCTATTTTTTCCAGAGAAGTTTAAATCAAATGATTTAAAACTTAAATAATTCTATAAATAATAAATTATTTGTTTTGAATTTCCCTTAAAATAATTGAAATTTTTAAAAATGAGTTTAAAAATTTCTGAAATTCAATTAATTTTAAAAAATACAACTGTTTTCAACTAAATTCTTCTCCGAGTTAAATTAATTAATAAAAATAAAGAAAATTATTCTAGAATTTAATTATTTATAACTGAATAAAAAAAACCAAGTATTGTTTTAAAATTTGTTTTAATTCACAAGTTTCAATTTCGTTCTGTCTAATTCAATAGGAGAATTCGAGGTTTTTTAATATTTTAAAAATTTGTTCACCTAAATATAAAATTATGTTAGTAATTTTAGTGATTTGATATTTTTTTCAAGTTCTTTTGATAAAATTTCTTGACATTTCACTGATTTCCCCGATTTTTCTGAACTGTGACAATTCTTATTTATTTTGAGAAAATTTGCTTCACTAACACAATTTTCTCTAAAATGAAACAAGTAAAATGAACATTTCCTGACACCAATTTTTAACAATAATAATTCTTTAAAGCAGGGATCGCCATCAACACGAAACGACATAAATTTTTCGTGACAAGTCCTTGTTTTAAAATAAATTTCTCTTACCTCGACAGAATTCAAAGCCCCTCGGTTTCGGTTCGTACCTTAAAAAAATATATTTTATTAATTGTGAACTTTACATTTTTATAAATTATAAATCGTAAATTATAAATCAATCTTTTACGTCCGAGAAATATTAATATTATAGTGAAGGAGAATAAAACGAATTTATTACAATTATAATTATTTTAATTATAATAAATATAATTATTGCAATTATAATTATAATTTATTATTATGTATAATAAATTATACATTTTAATTACAAATTAAAAATTATTATAAAAAACATAAAAATAATTACATCATTAAGTCTAACATTTTTTCAACTGAATTACAGTTTTTTTTGAAAAAAAAAATTTCCATAAATTATAATGTTACCTACAATTTTAATAACTTTTATAATTACATGTCTATTTGAAATAAGAGACTTTTCACCAACATCACCGAGTTCTTTGATATCTGATATATAAATAATGAGTCTCGAATAAAGATTTTCAGTATAAATATTTAACTTGAGTACAGTGGAATAGAAAAAGAATTTCCAGTCACAAATATCGACTTAACTTTTAAACGTGGCTTGGGGAAAAAAGGTGAAAATGACTTTTTAGTTCAGGTGAGACGTTAACGAATTTGACATTAATCAAATTTCTCTCATAAAGGTCATTTTCCAGTGAATTACTAAAAGGCACTTTTTTCTTCTTTTTTCCCCCCATTTAATAAATTTATCGATAGTTATATATTTTTACAGAAACTAAAAAATTACTAAAAAAATTTAATTCTTTTAACTTTTAAACGAATTTATTTACGATACAGTTTTTCAATACAATATTGAAAAAATAGAATTCTATTAAAATTTGTATTAAGAGACTGATAAAACATAGCTATTAATTAAAAATTTAAATTTTATCAATAGAACTGTTTTACATTTTGATGATAATAAAAACAATGGCTTTTGTGAATTTTATACTATAAATTGAATGTTATTGTTTAAAGAAGCGAAGAACAATAACTATCAACGCTCATTAAGAGAAAAAAAGATTTTATGTTTTTTTCGTAGTCAATAGAAAATTCATGACTTTCGATGAAAAAATATTTTAATTACTTTTATAAAAATTGATGAAAAAAGTGCATAACAACCAGTTTTTTTATATTTACTCCTGAAAAAAGCCATTTTTAATTATTTATAAATTGAAACGAATATTTTTAACAATTAATTTTTAGAGATATAAATAAAGAAAAGAAATTTGAAAAAATGGTAAAAATAATTATTATTTTTACTCATATTGATAAAATAAATAATAAACTTTTTTCCGCATATATTGGAAATTATTTTTCAATTATTGATTTTAAATTCTTTGAAAATTCAATTATTTTTCGATTATTGAATTTAAATTCATGGAAAATTCAATTATTTTTCAATTATTGAATTTAAATTCTTTGAAAATTCAATTATTTTTCAATTATTGAATTCAAATTCTTTGAAAATCCAATTATTTTTCCATTATTGAATTCAAATTCTTTGAAAATTCAATTATTTTTCAATTATTGAATTAAAATAAATTCTTTGAAAATTCGACTTTTTATTCAATCTCTATAATAATAAAAAAATTCCATAGAAAATTTAATAATTTTCAATTCAATTTCAATTACCTTGATAATCAATTACTAAAATTTTTTTAAATTCAATTATCTTTAAACAATTGAATTAAAAATTGTCGTAATTTTTTAAATAAATACTTAATTGTTATTAATGTTATTATATTTTTCACATCAATTAAAAATTTCCTAAACTTAATTCTTTTCGCAATTATTTTTAAAAAATTCAATTATTTGTGAAAAATTTTAATTATTTTTAAACATTAGAATTGAAATATATTTTAAAAAGTACATTTTTTCAGAATTATAAATAAAAATTTTTTAAATTTCAATTTTTTAACAAAAATTTAAGTATAAAATTAGAAAACATCAAATTGAATTAGTTTTAAACATTAGAATTAAAATATTTTAAAAACACATTTTTTCAGAATGTTTTTAAGTTTTATACTTAAATTTTTGTTAAATAATTGAAATTTTGAAGATTTTTATTTAAAAATCTGAAAAAATCACTCTTTAAAATATTTCTATTCCAATGTTTAAAAATAATTCAATTCGTTAACAAATAATTGAAATTTTTTAAAATAATTGAAAAATAATTAAGTTTTAAAAAATTCAATTACTTTTCAATTATTTTTCCATTATTTTCAATTATTTTCCAATTATTGAATTTAAAATCTTTGAAAATTCAATTATGTTTAAATTATTGGATTTTAAATTCTTTGAAAATTCAATTATTTTTTAATTATT